CTTCACCTTGACCTTGGCCCTTCCTTGCCTCCATCCTCTTCATATCACTTTGCCCATCTTGACTACTTAGCCTGCTGCTCCTTCTCTCACTCTGTGCTCAAGTCATCTTGTATGTAAACTGGAATGATAAGCTTGCTGTTATCTTCATTTGGAGATTAAGTACAAGTTTAAAGAGAAGTGTTTGAGTGTGCAGTTGACAAGGGGTGGACTGTGACTGTTAATCCTTGTATGTCAACTTCATTGTATTAAGAACTGCCTAGCAAGTTAGTAAAGCATGCTCCTCAGTGTGTCTAGATGTGGCTTGGATTACCATATATCAGTGATGGCAAACCTTTTAGAGACCAAGTGCCCAAACTGCAACCCCAAACTTACTTATTTATCACAAAGTGCCAACACTGTGCTGTAATCTGATGCTTGGCTATTGTGATGATGCAGGGGTGACTTGGCTTGCATGGTCACAGAGAAGGTTCTGTGTGCCCATTGTGGCATGTGTGCCATAGATTTGCCACCATCGCTATATATGGTCCCTCTCTGTGATAGTGAACTGATTGTGTCAACTCAAGTAAGAAATGGCCAACTAAATTGGACCAGCATAGTTCTGGGTGTGGCTGAAGGAATTTACTGAAGACAGAAGATTCACCCTGGATGTGAGTGGCACCAAGCAATGGACTTGCCACCCAAATGGAATAAAAAGAAAATGAAGAAGGAAGGCTCGCTTCTGTTTCTTTGGAGAAGTTCCAGTCTCCATCTTCACCTCAGATATCATCTCCTGGCTTCCAGCACAGACTCTTCAGCCTTCGGTGCACATCATCACAGACCCTTCAGCCTCCTGATACCAACTTGCCCAGGACACTACAGAGCTCTAGGGCTTTCACTGGATCCTTCAGATTTCCAGAAGACAGACAACACTTCTGCACTCTTCCACACCTGACTCTTGGCAGGTGGCCCTTGTAACCCTACCATGTAAATCCTTATGTATTTGTATATCTCACATTAAATCTGTTTCTCCAGTAAGCACTGACTGATACGCTCTGTTTCTTTCTGCACTGTTCCCCTGCTCTGCTTCCTGACAGCCATAAACTAAGAACCTTTGCTCTTCCACCCTTTCCACCATAAGACTTCTGCTTGGTAGCTTGATGACCATGTACTGACCCTCCTGAAACTGAGAGCTAAATTAAACTTTTCCTCCTTTGGGTTGTGAGTTCTGGGTATTAAGTCTCAGCAATAGGAAACCTGACTAATAAACTCTGACCACCTTCTCTTCCCTCAACCCCAAAATGCTGCTCCTGTCTGGCGACATTTGTGCTTGCTGCTCATTTTTCTCAGAGTTCCTTTTGCCCGGGCATATGACATAACCCCTTCCCCCTCCCTTCATGTGTCTATTCAAATTTCCTTATTAGAGAGGATTGCTCTGATTAAGCTATAAAATCAACTTCTGTGTTCTTATCTTGTTTTATTCTCTTCTTAGCACTTACAACATAATAGATTATAATTAACTTAGTTATTTGTTTGTCTTACTTCTTTTAGAATGAAAGCTCAATGAAAAGAAAGACTTTGTTTTGTTCGTTACCTCTCAATAGGGCCTTAAAAAGTCCCTGGCAACTAGTAACCATTTAGTAAATGCATGAATGAACAACAGATTGAGTAAATACTCCCTGAACCTTACTGTGAACATTCTAGTGTCCAGAATGAGCAAAACCAGTTAGGGGCACCACCTTCCCTAGCCCTGCCCTCTACTGTATAGTTACAGATATGTCTCAAATTACATGAGTCTTCTTTTCCAGTGCTCAAACATTTATCAAAAGCATATTATCTAAGGTCTAAGAAATATAGTGAACTAAAAAGGGCTGGGATTCTAAGTAGAATAAGATAATTCTTTTTTTTTTTTTTTAAATGCAAGACAAACTTTAAAAGGACTGGACAACTCACGTGAAACAGTTAGAGAACATTTCTTGAAAAACATGAAACCTGTTTTGGATCTTGAAGGAGGGTATTCCAGTTATCTCTTGCTATATAACAAACTACCTCGAGCATAGTAGCTTAAGTCCATAACCATTTTATTACAGCTCATGGCTTTGTGGGCCAGAAGTTTGAGCAGAACTTGCGCAGGTGACTTTTGTTCTATGTGGCACTTATGGGGTGTGCTTGTTGTACTGAGCTGGTGGATGGGCTGGTTTGGAAGGTCTAAGATGGCTTCACTTGCACATCTGCTGCCTTAGTGGGGATGCAGGTGGAAGGAGGTATTTAGCTGAGACAATTACCAAAGCATCTGTACATGTTTCATCTGATGTGGCAGCTTTGGGATGTTCACACATCCTATGAGGTGATTCAGGGCTCCAAGAGCTAGTCTCCCAAGACACATGGAAAGCACAGGCCTTAGGTGACATAGCTTCAAGAGTCACATGGCACCGCCAATGACGAGGAGAAATAACAGGGACAAACACAATGCGAGGGCCAAGGATGAACACCTGATTAAGTTCAGCCTTTGTTCTGTAGACAAGAGGTCTTCACACTGTCATAGTTACACATGCCAAAGTTCAGCCTTTGCTCTGTAGACAAGAGGTCTTCACACTGTCATAGTTACACATGCCTCAAAGCTTATTTTAAAGTGTATTTGTGGGTTGTCATCCAACTCCCAGCCCATAATTTAAAAGTTATTGTAAAGGTCAGCAGCTCTCCTCTATGTGGTCTTTCCCTTTAATGGCGTCTTTTCCTTTCTTCCTCTGACAGACTCTGAGGACATTGTGGAACTATCCCCTCAGGTCTCTTCCTGGAGCTGAGAGGGTCACACATGGGGACGGTTTTATAGGCCAAGAATGGAATTGGTGCATATTGCTTTTGCTCACCTTCCACTGTCCAGAGTTCAGCCACATGGCTACCCTGACTGCAGGGAGGTCAGAAAGGTGAAGGGAGCATAGATTTTATTGAAGAGCTACAATTCTTGCAATTTAACACATGTAAAGCATCCAGCATATTTGCTGGCATACATGAGCATTCAACATAGTAGTTGCTGCTATTGTTAGCACCAGTACAATCACACACACGGTCTACATGTTGTTCTGTGCACAGATAGGTTTGCACTCTCCTTTCTAGTGCTTTGAGGCCTCCAAGCTAGATGCACTTTAGACAAAAAAGACCCCAGAGCCTATGAGCCGAATTAGCAGCTAATGACCTCAGCAGGCAGCCCTGTCGCTGCAGTCAGTAGAGAGTGAAGAGAACTTGTACAATAAGTCCCTGATCTCAGTACCCAAGGTGCTACACGTCTACTTCATGCTTGCCTTCAACAGCTTATTTATTTATTTACTTATTATTATTATTTTTTTTTGGCCGTACTGAGGATTAAATCCAGGGTCTTCATACTGAGCAACACCCTCAGCCTTAGTTTAAAAAAAAAAAAATTAATGCTTTACTTTGTGTCTCGCTAAATTGCTACTTTGCCAGGCTGAACTTAAATTTACAATCCTTCTGCCTCAGCCTCTGGGAGAGCTGGAATTATAGGTGTGTCACCATCCCTAGTTAACAGTGCATTTTCCACCAAATACTTGTGCTGCACCTGCCTGCTTTGCGCCTACCTTCTACTTCCTTGTAGGAGGAGGGTCCATACAGGACTTTCTTTTGGTCTGAAGAAAAACTGGAACTTGCCTAGGTTTAAGTTTTTGCCTCTTAATTTGGTATTCAAAATGATCCCCCAATAACCAGAAATGCAGAGCCACTTTTCTTTACGATTTTAAGCTGTCGGGACACATGCAGGATGACACGGGTGGGATGCAGGAGACTATGGAGACCTGATCAAACACTCAGAGTCTTTTCTTTTGCCTGCCTTTGATACTATAGGCAGCTAAGCTAGGCAGACGTATTATAGACAGTCAGACCGGACTGGGCCCTCAAGACAGCCAGGACAAAGGTGAAACACATCTCAACTGTGTCCAGAGACACATCTTTTGGAGACCAACCTCTGACCAGGCCTGTATACTCCACTGATGGACGAACTCCAGGCCTAATGAAGCCTAGGTAGACGTCTGTCACTCTGGTGGGTGACCAAGACCTCTGGACCCATCATTACCTAGAAAAAGTCTTTGTTCTTTCCACATACCCTTGTTACATGACTTCTTTCCCCATTGGATCACTATTACCTAAGTGACTGTATTTGTATCCTTATTGGTTGATTATAGCTGTAACCCACCATGTGTAATACTGTGTGGGTATTGCTCTATAAATTTTCCCCGTAGAGTGGGGTTCCTGGGCTAGCTATTTGGGACATTCCTTGTTCTTCTGTCAGGAACTTTCTACTCTCAATAAATATTTCATACTCTTAACCTCTGTTTTCCCTAGCAGTCTTCCTTCAATTTTTAGAAAACACAAACTTGGTGTATAAGACATCTAACAGGTTGAGGGGTGTATTTCCCTTATATCATATTGAAATCCCCCCTGTAACACTATCTGCTAATCAGGGACCACAAGGATTAGAAACAGAAACTTTTCCCCTGGGAGCCCTAGTAACTTTCATGTAGATTAGAATACGGGCGATAATGCAGGAAGTTAAGTTTTAGTTTTCCCTCAAAAGTACACCAGGGACAATTTAAACACCATTGTATTTGCTTCTGCAAACTACCAAGGTGCCTACACACAATTAACTTCCTCTATGTCACACAATCTCTCTAAAAGTCTCCAGAACCCTTCTAGAAAAATAAGAGAGCATCTTCTTTCCCAGAACTTGACTCATTTATCCAAAATATTCTTCACTTATGTCTCTGCACAGATTTATACTGGAAAGTCTCCTTTCAGGAATGCGTAGTTGCCGCAGGGGGGAACTGAAGATTTTCCAAATCAAAGAGGACGAGTCGGTCACTCTGAGAAAATGAGTAGCTGCTTTCCAGGTTGTGTTTGTGCAGGGTGCAAAATGACAGACTCCAGGTGTGACCTTCCAAGGATGGTGCAAGGGTTCATTTCTGGGCAGGCTCGGCAGGGGTGTGCTCTTCCTGCCGCATGAGTCAGCAGGCAAGTGGTTAAGTCGTGAGCCTTGGCTTTGCTGGTTCAAGATCCAGCCCCCAAGAGTTAACCTGCAGCACTGCTCCGAGCACTGGGGCAGAGGATACAGAAGCATCCGGAGCTCTGCCTTGCAGAGGAATCAGCAGCTGCCGCAGCGGGTCTGGGTATGTATCTCTGCTTTGATTGATAGTGTTTTGCTTTCTCCTGAGAGAACAAAGCGATGGCTGTTCATGCTAGCAAACAAGATCCCGTGGACAATGAAAAAGAACAGATGTTTATTAGCCTGCTGTTTCTCATGAAAATAAATAGTAGTGGTGCAGGGAATTGGGGGAGCCGATCTTTCATCCTCATTTATGCTTTTCATTGCAATGGCAGATTTTAAAAAATTCTCTCTGAATTCTGGTGCTATATGGTCAGGTCATATGAATGTCACTGTTACAGTGGAATTCAAAAGACATTTTTTTTGTTGTTCTTTCTGTAAATCTTCATATCTGCAGTCAAACAGAGGGATTTGGATTAAAGAGTTATTTATTGAACTGCTGAAGCCAAGTGGCAGAAATCCATTTTTCTACCCCATTTTGGAAGGCTAGATTCAAATCCTTAGATTTACAGCGCAAACTTCTCCAAATTCACCATATGCCGGAGTGAGAGAAGCATCACTTTGGATGTGGCTTTTTCTCTTTCTTACAACCTGACAACTTCCGTCTTGCATGTATACAGTATGACCGGGAATAACCTTCCGAATCTCGGTTTCTTTAAGGGACCTCTTAGATGGGCTCACTTGGGTCTTCCTGTCACTTTGTATATCCTCCTGACTCAGCCTCTCAGGGTGCTAGGATTAAAAGCATGTGCCGCCATATCCAGCTTTTATTTTGTCACTTGAAAATATCTGAGACTCAGACGCGAAGTATCCCCCCTGCCCCCAAAGGTTTGGCTTTAAAGGAATTTCCAGTGATGTGAGGACTAAAATAAGATTTGTCTGGATCTTTTTCTTGTTTCCCTCTGACACTGCAGTATCAGCCACCAGCTGACTACAGCACATTGATGACTATTTCCTAGTTAGCACCCCTGGTAGATTTAAATGATGGGATGTTGCTTGGCAGGCTTAGATCCTACTTAAAAGGTTATGGCTTCCAAGTACAGTGATTGAAACTCTTATTAAAATGTTTGGGAATCACCCAAAAAATATCCTTCTCAGTACCTCTAGATTCGCTTATATTAGCCAGAATTTCTAGCTAATGGGAGCCTCCTAGGATAACTACGTTTCTCTCTGAAAAGTGGAAATGCTACCTTACAATTTGGTCAGATGGTCAGCAATGAGCATTTCCATATGAACTAGCTTAATGTCTCTTTAGCTCACACCCCCCGAAGCCAGGCAGCTTTTCTAAGGCAATGCAAAAGTGGTGCGAGCAAGGAATTTGGAACTGGGGCTCTGAAGGCTGTGCATTGGTGAACAAACAAACAAACAAACAAACAGCCTGGGCCTCCCCACTAGCAGCCAGGGAGAACACTTGGAGGACACTGAGTCTCAGCAAGTGGGCACCTGGATGTAAGGGCAGACTCTGAAGGCCTCCTGCACAGCGGTGAAGATGGAGGCGCGGGAGACTTCGGGGGCACAAGGAGTAGTTGGCATCTCAGGGAATCAAGGTTCAGATCCTCAGCTTCCATTTGAACTCCTTTCCAAATGCCCCCACCCCAGAGCTCGTTGGAGTTCTCCTGCTTTGGAAAATAAAGATCAACTTCAGAATCTCACTTTCTCACACTGACCCCACGAGGACAGAATTCTCCTGGCATCGTACAGAAGGATGTGTTTGGAGCACACTGCTTTAGAGAAGGAGCCTGCAAAAGACAAGCAAACAGAAGCAGACAAACGCAGACAGAAGCAGACCCAATCTCATTTTGTCTTCGCCAAAGGCTTATCCTTTGGCTTGTCCTTCTGGCTGTCTCAGAATAACAATTAAGGAGCAGGAAGGTTATTACAGGGACAGGGTGTAAATCCACTTACAAGAAGGATAAAATGAAGTCAGATGTTTCCTAACATTGTGATGATTTGGCAGGCTGATTTGGTAATAGAGCTAGTTTGACTAATTAGGTTCTGTGATGGATATTCCCTCTAAATTTATAAGTTGGTTCCGATGTTCAAGGTTTTGGCCAAGATATATTTAAAACACAGATACAATTTATAGAAAATTAAATAATTTTTTTGCAACTACTAAAGCATATAAATTTTAGAAATCACCTTTAAAAGTGTGCAATACACCAGGAATGATGGCATACATCTATAATTCCAGCACTGGGGAGGCTGAGGCAGGAGGATTGCCATGAGTTCAAGGCCAGCCTAGGCCAATAATATAATAAGAACAATAAAATTGTTCCAGATTTTCTAAGACCTTTGGCAGTCTCTTTTCTCGGCACAGTCACTTGCTGCCAAAGGAAAATATCTGTGATGTAAAGTGATATCTGAAAACCTTGCTTTCAGGGTTAAATTGAAGGTACCAGGAGAAGACCTGAAAGTTCTTCCAAATTAGAATCGTCCTGTGGGCTTTCTGGAGTGGTAATTTCAAGCTCTTCATTTCTCCCCTCAGAGAATGAATACTTACTTCTCTGCCCAGAGATGAGGTGTGAGAAGTGGAGAGCATGTCAGATCTCCAATGACAAGTGCAGTGCAGAGTGAGAAAAGGAACGAAGCTCATCCGGGCTGTTCCTTGGTCAGGCACAGGAAGTTTTCCTAGTACCGGAGTGAAATGGATAACTCCGAAAAATAGTCGTAGAAACTTTGAGGTGGCAGTTTATCCTTCCTCAGCATCCAGGTTCCAAAACCAGAATCGCTCAGTATCACTAGATCTGACTGTGAGGGGATCATTTTATTATTTTATTATTTTTATTTTTATTTTTATTTTCTTCCGGTACCGGGAATCGAACTCACGACCTCGTGCTTGCCAGGCAGGCGCTTTGCCACTGAGCTAAATCCCCACCCCCGGGGATCATTTTAGAGGGAAGGGAAATCGGATACCTCGGCTCTCCCTGCAGCAAGGGACGCTTTGGCTGTGACTCTAACTTGTGTCGCTCAGCTATCTTCTCATTCAACAGGAAGAAATCTGTCCCCAATTTCTCCAGAAAGGTGAGATCAAAAGCAATTGCATCCGTGATTCAGTGAGGCTTCTCCTCATACCTGAGACATTTGAAGAGAACGGAAGGGGGCGACCAGTTGGTAGCAGCCATTGTCACCACTAGAGGGCAGTGCAGATAATGGCACTGGGGATAGGGAGGGAGAATTTTACAGGGACTCTGCCAAGAGACTACCAAAGGCCTCAGAAAATCTGGAACCATTTTATTGTTCTTATTGTTACATAATTGGTCTAATTGCTCTTACAGACTGGGCTTGTCTGAGAAGAGCAGGTGACATAAAGAAAAGTCTCAAAACATATTTATGACTCAGAGCAGAATACAGTAGCTGGATAGGGTTTCAACACTTACCTGGAGGATGCAGTCTCAATTTCTGCTTTACACTGCTTCCCCAGCTCTAAACATACTGCGGTCAGCTGACACTGCTTGGCAATCCCTCCTTAGTGGCTGAGGAGGTCCTTTGCAGTATAATGGTATGTCCGAGGAGATTCGTGTTGGCTCATTAGCGCCACCTGTATACAGATCTTCCCCACTTGACTTTCAGGGGTGTCAGCCTTTGATTGCTTGAAATTAGAACCGGATACTCCGGTTTCTCCTCAGATCGTATAAATCTTTCACCTTTTGAAATTAGCACCGGCAGGACTATTTATGCCATAGAAATTGGCAAATGTTACACACCAAGGCCTCTTCTTCCTGGTGAGCCTGGTTCCAATATGTTTAGCAGGACTTCCAATATGTTGGGCACTACTTCTTGCAGAAAATTCCTTGATAAGAAAGTAATATGCTACTTTAAGATATTAGGAGGAAAAAGGCCTTAGTAAAAATGTTACTTTGTATTATTAAGTAGAATATTATGATATACTAAAATCAATTTTTGCTCAACAAGAGTTTGCACATGAGGAGTGTTCTGGCCTGGTCTCCTTTCCAGAAATGGGTATTACTTTCCTAAATGCTCAGACTTATATATTCTGCCAATCAAATCACACACTGTCACCCCATCTTAATGACACGATATTAGTAAGAAATTTATAAGGAAACCTTTGGGGACAAAATAAAGAGTACCCTAATCCATTTCCAGCTCCTTTACATTTCTGGGTTACTAGAGGTAGGAATGAAAACTTTGTTGAGCTGGGGCTGGGAGTGTGTGTCTCTGTGTGTAACAGCAAAGAGCCACACATATGTGGCCCCAGAAAGTTGGGAAGAGCCGCATCCTGAGTTTATATAGATGAAAGGAAGTTAATTACAAAAGAACATCAGATATGAGCACAGTTCAATAATATATTACCACCCAATGAGGGCAGGACAGCACCAAGGATGACAGGGAGCTCTTTGGGGAAGGATCTTGTGTGAGACAGAGGCTTTGGCAGGTGAGAGAAAACACCACCAACACTTCCTGGTTTGTTAGCTTTTTAAGTACTGTGTTCAGACAAAAGTGGCTCGGTACCGACAGGCCTGCATGTCTTAGAGCAGTGTGTCTTGGGTCTGGCTAAAATCAAGGGCATGCTCACAGTGCACTGAAGTCTGTCTGTACATAACATTTCTTTCCCAGGGGAAAGAGCCAGTTTCTCTGCAGAAAGGCAGCAGCCAAGGTCATTTCAGTGAACACCTGTGATTTGGTGACTCTTGTCACTTTAATCCTTACCCTGACACCACAGTAGAGTGCATGCTAGTCCTGAAGAAAGAACAAAAAGTAGAGAACAGAAAAAAAAAAAGAAAAGAAAAGAGAAGAGGGGAAAAAGAAAAGAAAAAAGATTTTGTTAAGGTCCAGTACAGAGGCTATTTGTCAAAGCCCATCTTCCTAACCTCACATACATGGAGACCAGGTATGACTGCTATCCATGGCGGGTTAGCTCCAGGGTTAGGGTCACTCTGAAAGACTGGGGAAGACTGGCAAAGAAGAATACTTTCATGGTAGGCATTCATTCATTTACAGGCTCTCAAAGTTCCTTTTCCAGTCAAATGAAACCAAAAAGAATTTTCTTCCCAGACTATGAGATCTCCCTATAGATTATAATAATGTCCAAGAAGAATTATTCAC